GCTCCAGCCTCCAGTCCCGGTCGCCCGGATTAAGCGCCCGACGGCCCTGGATGGTCTCCCAGCCGCTGGCGGGGACCGGTCCGCAAGGTCCCGGCCCGGGCCCTGCCTCCCCCGCGGGCTCCCGAGCTCCGGGAGGGGCGGGGCGTCCCTGGCCCCGCCCCGTCGGCCCCGCCCGCGGGGAAGGAGTGAGCTGCGTGGGCGTCGCGGCGGGAAGCGCAGTGCAGAGTCCGGCCCGGCCCGCGCGGAGGCTACAGCGACGAGCGACTCGGGGTGAGTGCCCAGCTCTGCCTGCCAGCCCTGCCTCCCCCGCCCCGGGCAGGGGTCCTGGCGCCCCACCCAGCTGGGTCGGTGGATGCAGCTCAGTCCTCCACCCCGCCGGTGTCAGGCCTTGCTGGGGGGCCTGGGGGCAAGGAGGAGGAGCTGCCGACAACCACTGAGCCCAACTCTGCCGGGCATGGTGTGCTCGGAGCTTTCGCTGCTGTGTCTTCCTCGGAGGGAGGGACCCATTCTACAGATGAGGAAACTGAGGCCTACCCAACTCAGAAGTGTCAGAGCTGGGGACAAGCCGGCTCATTAGGACTCCAGAGCCCTCCAGTCTGGAACGGAGGCAGCAGACCTTCCTTCCTGATCATCTCATCATCCCCAGGACAAGGGCTCAGAGATCTGGTGGGGTCCTGGAGGAGGAGCCTTAGCCTCCAGCTTCCTGAGGGACTGGAGAGGGGCACAGGGTGGAGTGGACTGACGTCTGGGACATGAAGGCTGCAGGATGGAGCATTTCACTTACTTGCTCCCTAAATGTAACTGGGGTGGCCCTGGCTAGGGTAGGGGCCAGGGGGGACCAGGAGCAGGAAGCAAGCCAGCAGAGGCCTCATATACCAGGGGAGGGGTCTGACTAGGTCCCCGTGCACACCCATGCCCACCACCGGTTGTGCCCAGGCCCGAGGGAGCCAACCCCTAGGCAAAGGGACCATGGGGAGCCCCAGTGGCCCTGTGAATCAAGGGTACCAGGGTGGAGTTGTGACAGCTGCTGCCTGGGGCTGCTCCACCGGCTGGGTCCCCAGACCTGGCTCCCTCCAACCCCTTATTTGGCCAGCGCAGCCCCAGAGGGTACCTGAGTCAGAGAACAGCTCTCTGAGCACATACTGTGCGCTGGAACCTTGAAACCTGCAGCCCCAGGGCCAGGCTCCTGTCTGGCTTGGCCATCGGCTGGGCATGGGACCTTGGACCTCACCTCTCCAAGTCTCAATTGACTCACCTGTAAAACAGGGCTGCAATGCCCCGTTCCCCCAGATTGCTGTTCAGAATTAGCATAAGGCAGTGTGGGTGAAGGTATTATATGGGGGCTCTTTGTCACCTCCCCACCTAGGTCCTGTCTCTGCCAGGGGTAGCCAAGTGACATTAACCCAAAGAGGAAATGGAGGCCCAGAAGGGGTGAGAGACTTGCCCAAGGTCACACAGCCAGTCCCAGTGTACACAGGGCCCCAAGCCCTGGTTCCTAGCCCGCTGCTAAGTGGCCAGAGCCATGTCCTTGGGTGATAGAACCCAGCCCTTCCAGCCCACCCTCCCTGTCCAGGGCCCAGTCCTTCTGCAGCCTCGGGCTGCCCTCTCGGCATTCTCTCCTTTCCCAGGCTGGGGACAGGGCTGCACTTCCCTATTTAGAGTTAAGTAAACTGGGCCCAGGGGAGGAAGTGACCCGCTGCGCAGGCCCTGGCTGGCCCAGACAGCAGGCGGGGCACTCTTAGCAGGGCTCACACTGGGGCTTGTCCCCTCCGCCCTGATTTGAGAGCTAGGGAAACTTGAGTCCTACAGAGGGACCCTGGGTCCCAAGAGCAGCAGCAGCAGCAGAGCAGGCAGGACCTGGGAGCCTGGCTTGCGGGCTGGGACATCTGCAGAGCCCGCGGGAGGCCACCCTGGCCCTCCTGCTGCAGCATTTGAGCAAGTCCTGCCCGCCTCTTCCCGCCGGTGTCAGTTTCACTTTCCATCGGTTTCGACACCTGGAAGGCCGCTCCCGCCCCCAGCCCCCACCACACAGGCCCGGGACTCACGGAGGGCTCACCCCTCTTGTCCCCA